CATGGACTTTTCCAGGCAAGAATACTGGAGTGGGTTGCCAATTCATTCTCCATAAGAGGTCCTTCTTGTCTTTTGAATATGATTACTTGGTATGATTTAAAATGAAAACTATGGGTGTCTCTAATAGCTCAGTTGGTATAGTCCATGGGGTTGCAAACAGTCAGACAGGAGGAGCAACTTTCACCTTCACTTTTCACTTTCAAATGAAAACTGTATCTAAACTTAATGTTAGCAAAACAATGAACACTGTAACACAGTTACAACACATGCTGTGAAGAAAATAAGTCCAACATTTATAAATGTGTAATACCTGGCATCATCGACTCAATGGACATGAGTTTGAGCAAACTCCAGGAGATACTGAAGAATAGGGAAGGCTACCATGCTGCAGTTCATGGTGTTGCAAAGAGAGTTGGACATGACTGAGCAACTAAACAACAACAATACCTGGAATTATCAATACCTGGATTACTTGGGGGATCCTAAAAAATCAATGAGAAAACCCATAAAGAAACAGAGAAAGTACATGAATTAAAAAAGCACTTTTAGGAAAATATGATTGGTCAATAAACACATATGAAAAAATGTGCTCAATTTGCTTGTAATCAAGGAAATACAGACACTCATCTTTAGTAACTGAAGGGATTCAAAATTGGTGCAAGGATGGGGCAACAATCCGGCAATATGGGAAGCAAAATCTACACAGCACTTCTAGATGTGCACCTTTGAGAAAATCTTAACTATAAAGAAAAAAATACACAAAATGATATTTAATATAGCATTTTTATTACAATGAAAAATCATTTATGTCCTAATCACTGTTAAATAGAGTATTTCAGCATGTTTAATACATATACTACCAAGGACCAGGCTGAAATCGTTTCCACCCTGTAGAAAAGAACTAACCCAGTGTTCAAGCCAGAAGCTGCTTTCAGAGTATGATGTGAGCTGCAGAGAAAAGTGACCTTCCTCAGCCTTCCCCAACACACTCACTCACCATAATGTCTGAAATGACATCCTTCAAGACACTCACTGTGGTTATGGTAACATCTACCAAAATGGTTCACACTCTAAAGGTGTTAAGGGATATTTGGAGTGAGAGAATTGCACAGTGAAGCAAATTTGAGATACACTGTGTTAAATGAAAATACATCTTGAATACATCTTTTAACAAGCTGCTAAGAGGTACTTGGATTTCCCCCCCAAAATAGATATTTTATCCTTTGTTTCATTCATGATTTTCCCCACAATACCTTTTTTCCCCCAAATATCCTCATGGATTAGTATCCCTGAAACAAACTTGTGGAGAATGTTGGGTTAAGGTCTTGTGCTAGGTTAAACACAGGCCTTCTGGAGATATTTTGTGCTTGGAAAAGGCAAAACATTAACCTATTAATGAAGAATGATTTTGTAATAAATTCTAAATACAACTATTTAGAATTAATAGACTTGTCATAAATGAAGCTGGTCTAGATTTTGCTCTTTAGGAGTTATCCACATCTAGTTTTATATCAGGACTATTTTACCTGTGCAAAATTGCTAAAATCCTGTTAAGGATTATCTGTTTCTTAAGACTTTCACTTATGCAACTATCAGATTTTTTTCCTTCAACAGGAACTTCATACACACACATTTATTTGTTGGTCTGTCTGGGTTCTAGAGCAGTCAGTTGTGATAACATTCTTAGAGATGAAAATGCAATCCCTCTATATTTTGACATATATTGGAATACATATTGTACATACAAATAGTGTTACCTTAGAATTAAAAGAAAAAATTCTTGATAATCTGTAGTAATGTCCCTTTTGTCATCATTAATGCTGTTTCATATTTCATTTTCTTTTCATTGATTAGACTTGCCAAGATATAGTCATTAAGATTGGATTAAATCTACTAGTATCTAACCCCTTAATTTCTAATTTTAAATTTACTTTGCTTCTCTTCTGTTGGTTTTACTTTGTTCTTTTTCTGGTTTCTTGACATAAAGGTTTACTCATTCCTTTAACACATTTATCCATGTGACAGGCCCAGCTTTGATGGCTGTGGAAAAGTGAAGATGAAGCCTAGGCCTACAAACAAGATTCCTTAATGCATTCAGGGGCATAAGTTCCTCGCTGAATAGAACTTTGGTGACATCTGACAAGTTCATATATGCAGGCATCTTATTAACAATGATTTCTGAAGCAGTGTATAATTTGTTTTGATTTTAAATATTTTATTATTGAAACTTCCAAACACATAAAAAAGTAAAAATATTAGAACAATGAACCCCCCATAAACAACCATTCTACTTCAGTAATTTATTAACATTTTACCAACCTATTGATACTTTTCTAGCTCTCTTTGCCAATTATTTTTCTTTTGCTGGAATATTTTAATACAAATCTGGGTATCTTACCATTTCCTATATGTTTATTTCTAATCATAAAATATTTTATTTTTTAATAACCACATTGATATTATTATCGAGCTTCCTGGGTGGCGCCAGTGGTACACCTGCCAATGCAGGAGACCGGAGAGATTCAGGTTTGACCCCTGGGTTGGGAAGATCCCCTGATTCAGGAAAATCCCCTGGAAAAGGAAATGGCAACTCACTCCAGTATTCTTGCCTGGGAAATCCCATGGACAGAGGAGCCTGGTGGGCTACAGTCCATGGATACAACTTAGTAACTAAACAACAAAACTAGTATTTCTAAAAATCACTTAATACTCAGTGCATGTCCACATTTTCCCCAGTCTCCAAAATGTCTCTTTACACTTTATTCAATCTGGGTCCAAATAATGCCCACATATTGAATTTAGCTGATGTGCCTCCAGTCTTTTTTAAAAATCTGATAACAGTGCCCTTATTTTTTCATGCCACTCGATAGTTGAAGAAATCAGGTCAATTTTGGGAATTGTTTTGGGAATTTTATACATTCTGGATCTGCTTGGCTGCTTCCTGTGGTATCATTTACTTTGTTCATCTATTTCTCAAATTCTTGGGTTTAAAAAAATTTTTGATTTGAAAGTTTGATTCCTTCTGTTCATTATTTTGGCAAGAAAACTTCATAGGTAGTGGCATGTACTTCCTAACTGCATTATACCAGGAGGTGCATACTGTCTGACAGTTTCACTTTTATAGATGTTAAAATCAGCCAAAGGGCTTAGAGATGGTCAGCTAGATAAATCCAATATAAAGTTCTCACTATACACGCTTTCCCCAAATAGTTTTAATATCCCTTGAAGATCACTTTCTGGACATTATTCTTTAAATTAGGAACTAGAAAATGATTTTTCTAATCCAAATATCAATTTTTTTTCTGTATTTACTGGTAAGATTTATTAAATTAAAAAATTTTTAGTTTGATGAGTTTTGGGTGACCCTGAGACCTGATTCACATGGAAAAAGCAAAATACTTTTCCCTTTATTTATTAGTTTTCAGAATGAATTGGCATCCAAGCATCTTCCCAAACTGATCAAATTAGGCAGCCATAACCAAGTAAACTATCAAACTGCAACTGGGGTCATGTCAAAAAACCCAACTCCTACTGGTTGAAGATGGGATACTATGAGCATCAAAAATTTACTAGTTGTAATGGAATGTTTTTTTTCTTTCTACAAGAGTAACATATACACACACATATGCACACACATACACAATTATATTTCCAAGTGGTTAGTTTCTTTTTTGCCATCTTTTGGATAGTTTCTAATTAATCTTGAGTGGTGGTCAGAGAATACAGATTAAAAAACATTTACCTTGTAATTTGTTATGGGAAAACAATTTCATATTTCTCTTTGCTTCTTCAACCACTATATTCTTAACCTCATATGCATGAAATTCATCAGGTTTTTTTTCAGCATGAAATTTCTGATGCAGCTCAAGTGATGAAGAACTTCCTGCATTCAATATAACCTCCTAGATTTTATCCAAAATAATCTTAAGTTTAGTAAGTACTGAGCAGTGACAGAAGGCATTTCTACATTTATTACTTCTATAGGATCTTCCTTTCATATGAATTCACTAACACTAATGATGTTAATAACAACTACAGATAATATTTACAGAAAACATGCTATATGGCTGCTGTTTTTCCAAGTATTAACTACTCAATCCTCACAATGATACAGCAGGCTGACTCTGAATTGGCCCCAGTGATCCCTTCCTCCTGGGATTCATACTCTTCTATAAGCCTGTTCCCTTGAGTATAGGGCAGCCTAGTTTCTTGCTTCCAAGCAATAGAAGGTAGCAAAGGTAATGAAATAATTTCATTTCAATTATTAGAAACACAAGATGATAGCTTCTTTGATGCTAGCAGACTCTTGCTTTCTTGGATTGCATTCTCTTATGAAGCAGTTATGCTGAAGAGGCTCATATAGCAAGGACCTGACTGAAGTCAGCCTTCAGCCACAGCCAGCTAGAATCTGAAGACCTCAGTGCAAAAGCCCTCAGGGAGTTAATTTGGCCAACAACCACGTGAGGTTAGAAGTGGATCTCTTCCCTAGTTGAGCCTTCAGATGAGACTCAGTCATGGTTGAAACCTTGATTTTAGCCGTGTGAGAGGCCCTGAGGCAGAGGACCTAACAAAGTTATGCCTAGACTCCTGACCCATAGAAACTGAGATAACAAATGTATATTATTTTAAGCTACTAAGTTTGTGGTATTTCATTATGCAGCAATAAATAGCTAATATTCGTAGATACTACTATCACCATTTTACAAGTGAGCAAAATGAGGCACAGAAATTTAAGTACCTATCCAATAATACACTGGTAATACAGTGGTCAAATGGCAATAAAGATAGATAAGGCTAAAGATTTTCCTGCATTCATTATATTACTTTCTCATATGAATATGCTGAAGACAATGCTTGAATGGTGGTGGAAGCAACCATTAAAGCAACATTTTTTTTCTGTAGTATAAATATTTTATGCTTAATGATGAGCATCAAACAAATTCTCTCAAAAATGAATTTTCTGATGTTCTGTAACATAACGTGCATTTGAAAGCCTTGCATTAAATTACATTATGAATTTTCTGATGTTGAGTAAGGTGTGAATGTTGTCTAAAGGCCTTCTTACATTCCTTACATTTGTAGGGTTTCTCACCAGTATGAATTCTCTGGTGCTGAGTAAGAAAAGAATAAAGTCTAAAGGCTTTCCCACACTCCTTACATTCATAGGGTTTCTCTCCAGTATGAATACTCTGATGTTGAGTAAGTTGTGAGAGCAGTCTAAAAGGTTTTCTACATTCCTTACATTCATAAGGTTTCTCACCAGTATGGATACTCTGATGTTGAGTAAGTTGTGACAGTAGTCTAAACGCCTTCCCACATTCTTCACATTCATAAGGTCTCTCACCAATATGAATGCTCTGATGGGAAATAAGTTGTGAGTAACTACTAAAGGTCTTCCAACACTCCATACATTCATAGGGTTTCTCACGAGTATGAATTCTCTGATGGCGAACAAGTTGCTGCCTTAATCTAAAAGTCTTCCCACATTCCTTACATTCATAGGGTTTCTCACCAGTATGAATACTCTGATGGACAGTAAGCTGTTGGCATATCCTAAAAGCCTTTCCACATTCCTTACATTCATAGGGTTTCTCCCCAAAATGTATTTTCTGATGTATTCTAAGGTCTGGACCACATACGAAGGCTTTCCCACATTCCTTACATTCATAGAGCTTCTCGGAAGTATGAAGTCTTTGATGTCGAGTAAGATGTGTACACTGCCTAAAGGTCTTCCCACATGCCTTACATTCATAGGGCTTCTCGCCAGTGTGAATTCTCTGATGTCGAGCGAGTTGCTGATGTACTCTAAACGCCTTTCCACATTCCTTACATTCATAGGGCTTTTCACCAGTATGAAGTCTCTGATGCTGAGTCAGTTCTTGGAGGACTGTAAAGGCCTTCCCACATTCTTTGCATTCATAGGGTTTCTCACCAGTATGAAGTTTGTGATGTCTGATAAGGTGTGCACGCTGTCTAAAGGCCTGCCCACATTCCTTACATTTGTAAGGTTTCTCACCAGTATGAATTCTCAGGTGTTGACTAAGTGTTGAACGACGAATAAAGGTCTTCCTACATACCTTACATTCATATAACTTTTCTCCATTATGAACTCTCTGATATTCAGCAAGAAGATTATGCTTTTTGTAAGTGGTCATTTTTTCAGAAGCAATTTTCACTTGCCCAAAATATCCCTCTTGTGGTTCCTTTTGCCCCTCAATTTTGCTTTTGCATTCCCAATCACTTCTGAAAATGGAGTCCTGAAGGCTATAGCTTTTAATTCTTTCCATTATCTCCCACTGGAATGAATATATTTCATAAATGTCCTTTTCTGGAGATAAAATATTGGCACTGTATCTGGACTCCAAGTCTGAAAGAAAACAAGAAAGCAAACACACAATGTTTTCCTGTTCCAGAAGAAAGAAAACTAACAGAAATAAAAAGCACCTAAAACAATGCCTATTACTGAAACTAAGTAGGACCCTTTGGGGCTCCTGGGCATGGTAGCCTTTCTGTGTCCCCTGTTTCTTTGCAGAGAACAGACTCCAGCCTCTATGGACCTTCCCTAGATTCCAAAGGGAAAATCTGAACAGGTACAAATCAGGGAAGGGAGAGGATGCAGAAACAAGGGGCAGTCAGGAAACAATACTGCAAACTTGGGTCAGAGTCCTGGTTCCACCACAAGGGATACACATAACAGTATCTTTGAGCTCTTCTGCAGAACTAAAACCCCAGCAATTGGAAGATGTTCCAGAGAGAAGGTGACAATTTGATAACCTTGAGAAGCTCATCAAGATACCACCTGAGGCCAGATTAAAGGAACCAGTGAAGCTCATCAGGCCAGATTAAATGAAAGCAATACAGGACCTGCACACACCCTGATCCTTATCAGCAACCCTGATCTTGAACTACTGCTATAAAAGTTTTCACCAACTCCTCCCAGGTTGGGACACACAATTTTTAAAGCACAAGCCCACCGTGTCCCCCTTTGCCTGGCAAAGAAATAAAGCTATTCTTTTCTACTTCACCCAAAACTCTGTCTCTGAGGTTTGATTCACCACCAGCATGCAGAGGCTGAGTTTTCAACATTATTACCAGTGAATGGATTAGACATCTTTAGAAGACACTGTATTCCTGCTAATATAATAACACATATGTGTACCTAAAAAACCTATTTTCTGTAAAATTACACACCAAATATTAAGAGTTTATGGGGAAAACAGGAAAAATATCTCCAGAATATCTCCAGGAGGTATTGTTTTAATACCTCCAAGAGAATTACAAAAAAAAAAAGAGAGAGAATTACAACATGACTGACAAACTGCTACTCAATGAAAATGATAGAAGCCAGAAAAACAAGAAGACAGCTGCTAAATTAACTTCCAATCCAGAGTTCTGTACTCCAGAGAATGAAGAAAAAATTCTGTACCTTTTAAAAATGAAGACAAAATAAAGATAGTTTCAAATAAAACCTAAGAGATTTCATTGCCAACAGGCACAGTAAAAGAAATACTAAAGGAAGTTCTTCAGGAACAGAGAAAATGATTCTAAGCAGAAGCACTACAGTGCAGAAAAGAAAAAGGAGCACTGTAAAAGGTACCTGTGTAGGTAAATGCAAACCAGTATTAATAATAGTATATAAATTAATACTCTATGGGGATCTAAATGTATATAGAGTCAAGATAAACAATAGTAAAAAAAAGTAGAGGGTACATAAAAAGACTTTAAATGTTATGAATGTCTCTACAATATTGAGAAAGATATAAAGGAACTAATTTAAGGTACAATGCAGTAAGTGAAGAATGCATGTGCTAACCTCTAAAGCAACTATTAAAAACTGAAGTGTGTATAACTAACACACTCAAGAGGCAAAAGCTAAAATAAAACATTTTGATTAATCCAAAACAGGCATGAGAGGGGAAAAAAAGAGAAAGCTGAACAAACAGAAAAAAGACAGTGGATTTAAACCTAAACATATATATTATATTTCCCTGGTGACAAACAGTACAGAATTCACTTGCAGTGCAGGAAGACCTGGGTTCAAGTCCTGGGTTGGGAAGATCCCCTGCAGGAGGGCATGGTAACCCACTCCAGTATTCTTGCCTGGAGAATCTCCATGGACAGAGGAGCCTGGCGGGCCAACAGTCCATGGGGTTTCCTGCCCGGCAACAGTGCATGGGGTTGCAAAGAATCGGACATGACTGAGCAACTAAGCACAGCACATATAAGAAAATTACTTAACTGCAGATAGATAAAATGCACCAACTCAAAGACAAAGATGCTCCTTATCCACATAGGGAGAAGGAGGCTGTATGAGGAGTTCAATCTGGGTAAAGAAAACATCCACTTGTGGAGCAGCCTCAAGTGTGGAGGATTCAGACCAAGGAGCAGCCCAGCAGTATATTCTGGGCAAACCCACCATGAATCTATCATCTGTCTATCTCCCACCAGTAACATTCAAATCAAAACCACTACCATATTCCACTGTGACAAATGAAAATAGCCTCCTAATTGGTCTTCCTACTATTCATCTTGCCCCTATTTGACCTACTCTCTATAGAGTGATACTTTTAAGACAAATCAGCTCATGACATTCCCCTGCTCAGAAATCTCCAAAGGCTTTCTATCACAATGACTTCCCCTATGATACACAAATTTTACATGACCTAGCCCTTGCCTAACCTTCTGACTTGATCTTGTTACTCTACTTCTCACTTACCTTTTGAATAATCATCCTGGCCTTCCTCCTCGTCTTCTTTTTAAAATTTTTATTGGAGTATAGTTGCTTTATAATGTTGTATTAGATTCTGCTGTACACCAACGTGAATCAGCTATATGCTTACATACATCCTGTCTTTTCTGGATTTCCTTCCCATTTAGGTTATCACAGAGCACTGAGTAGAGTTCCCTGTGCTACACAGCAGGTTCTCATTATCTGTCTATTTTATAACAGTATTGATAGTGTCAATATGTCAGTCCCAATCTCCCAATTCATTCTACCTGAACTCCCCCCTTGGTAGCCATACGTTTGTTCTCTATACTACTGTGTTTCTATTTCTGCTTTGCAAGTAAGATCATCGAGAAAAAAGGTAAGGATGATAATAAAAATTTGCATGCTGGCCTTCTTGCTGTTCCTCAAACATCAAAGTCTTTGCCCTCTAACCCAAGGTCTCTGCATTTACTGTTTCATCAGGACTGTTCTTGTTTTAGATATTCAAATGGTCTGAGCTCTTTTTCATGTCTCCACTCAAAAATCATCTCTTCAAAAAGCCCCAAACACCCAAAAATCTGTCTACACCTCCCAATTTCTATCTCCTGTTCACCTCACTTTTCTTAATAACACTTGCCACTACATAAAACTATTCATTTACTTGTTAACTTCATGTCCTTACTCTTATTAAAATGTACACAAGAAGACTGCTGGGAACTACCACAAGTATTGCTGAATAAATGAACATATTTTTAGGTAAGCAAGTGTATGTATACTAGCCAGACTGCAAAGAAACTGGACCCTATAGAGACATTGCTATGGACTGAATTTTGTCCCTCCAAAATACACTTAAGCCCTAAATACCCAATGTGCCTATATTTGGAGACAGTGCTTTTAGGAGGCAATTAAGGTTAAATGAAGTAATAAGGGCATAATCCTAATTCACAGGACTGGTGGACAGAATAGGACAGGACAGTACTGGTGGCCTTACAAGAGGAAGAGAGAGATCTTCCATCTGCAAGCCAGGAAGAGAGCCCTCATCAGGCCCCAAAATGCTAACCTTGATCTTCTGGCCACCAGAATTGTGGGAAAATACATTTCTGTTGTTTAAGTCACCTATTCTATGGTGTTTTGCTATGGCAGCCTGAGCTGCCTAGTACAGGTTTAGATCATGATGAATTACAGTCATTGATCAAGAAAGACGATAGCTCCTCTCTTGGCTCAAATCTTTTACCTATCAACAACAGGACATTTTAATTTACTTTTTGTTTTAAAATAACTGCAGATTCACAGGATGCTGCAAAGAAAAGTACAGGGAAGTCTCACAAACCCTTCACCCTCCCTCTCAAGGTGAACATCTTACAAACTATAGTACAATATTCAAACCAAGAAATTACCTTGGAATAATCCATAGGGCTGATGTAGATTTCATCAGTTATACATGCCCTCATGTATGTGTTTATAGACAGGTCTATGCAATTTTACCAAAATAGCCTTGTCTGAGGACTTCCCCATAGCTCAAATAGTAAAGAATCTGCCTGCAATGCAGGAGACCAGGGTTCAGTCCCTGGGTCAGGAAGATTCCCTGGAGAAGGGAATGGCAATCCACTCTACTATTCTTGCCTGGAGAATCCCATGGACAGAGAAGCCTGGTGAGCTACAGTCTGTGGGGTCACAAAGAGTTGGACATGACTGAGTCACTAACACATAACGTTAACACATAGCCTTGCCTAACCCTCACCACAATCAAGACTCAACTGTATCATAACCACAATGTTTATTCCTTTGTAGCTTCAACCATCTTTCCCCCTCCTTACCTTCCTAACCCTGGGTAACCACTAATCCAATTTCCATCTCTATAATTTTATTATTTCATAAATATTAATTAGAGTCATATGGCATAACCTTTTATGATTATTTTTCTCACTCAATATAATTTCTTCCAGATTCATCCAGATTATCACAAGTATTAAGAATATATTCCTTTTTGTTGCTGAGTGTTATTCCATGGTATGGATGTACTTTTTACCCATTTTTAATTGAGTTGTCTATCATTATAGTGTTGAGTTGCAGTGTATCAACTGGATGTTGGTCCTTTGTTTTACTACTATTTTCTCTCAGTCTATGACTTGCTTATTCATTCTTTTATTGGTATATTTTGATGAGATAAAGTTTTTTATTTGGATAAATTATGACATCAATTTTTAATTTTTATGGTTACTGCTTTCTCCTAAGAAACTTTTGCCTAATATCAAGTCATTCCCCTGTGTTTTCCTCTAAAAGCTTTGCATGCATGCTAAGTCGCTTCAGTCATGTTGACTCTGCAATCCTATGGACTGTAGCTCGCCAGGCTCCTCTGACCATGGGATTCTCCAGGCAAGAATACTGGAGTGGGTTGCCGTGCCT